ACATGTCAGATAAATAACAAAATTCACAGTTCTGGTACTTGCTCATCATTTCTTTGATCCTGGTTAACACTTTTTCATTTTGTAGTACTGAGTAACTGAGGCATTTCATTTTGTGGCATCAGACAATAGGAGATGGAGATGCAGAGGGTTTCCTACAGAGCTCACAGGTGACAGATCTCTGGTGTACCCAAGTCCTCCTCTGGTGTCTCGTAGAATCAGAAAATATCCTGAGATGGAAGGGACCCACAAGGATCATCCAGTCCCTGCCCAGACACCCCAGCAATCCCAGCCTGTGCATGCCTGAGAGCATTGTTCAAATGCTGCTGGAGCTCTGGCAGCCTCAGGCCGTGCCCATTCCCTGGGGAACCTGGGCAGTGCCAGCACCCTCTGGGGGAAGAGCCTTCCCCTGGTATCCAACCTAAACCTCTCCTGACACAGCTCCAGCCATTTCCTTGGGAGTGCTGACAGAGGGCTGGCAACTGCAGGAACTCTTCAGTCACATTCTAAGAAATCTGATAGATCAGTGTGGTTATCAGTTCCTTTACCAGTTTGGAGGAAACTGAGCTCAGAGTAGGTCACCAGGATGTGGTGCAAACCCCACTGAATCCAGCCACAAAGCAAGAAACTGCCGTGCAAGCATGTGCTGAGGAAGCACCACACGAATTCTGAAGAAATGGTTATGGGGGATCACTTAAAACTAAAAATGGCCAAAAAAAAAAGCCAAGCAAAACCTGCAGGTCACTGAGCTGGGAATGAAGCAGCTTTAGAAATGGAGCAGGTCCTCAAAGCAACAAGTCCTGGCCTTGTGTTTGAATCAAAACTTGGTCAGTGCTCTCACCTCAGTGTCAGGTTTCCCTGTCACAATTCCTCGAGGACGAAAGCAAAGTAAAAGCTTCTCAACCAGGAGAGAGCAACAGACAAATTCCATCTGTCGAGGCTCTGTTTTCTCCAGGCACCAAAAAATGTCAAGGAACAATTTGTTGCCATTTGTGTGAGGTTGTTAAGCAACATGAAACTCAAATATTGTGCCCATTCAGTTGGTACTGGAGCAGCCTAATTTGAGAAAGGGAGAGGGTAACTTTTGTGTGATTCATGGGTTTGCACTGACTGCTCAGCGATCCGGGGCACACGAGTGCACAGGCTGCGGGTGCTTTGGGCTCTGCCACGGGGAGGTTGCAGCAGGCTTGGGGCTGGGGGGCATCACTCTGGATTATCAGGGAGGTGGGATTGAGGTATCCCTGGTGTGGAGTGCTTTGGAGAGGCTTTTCCACGTGTCACTTGTGGTTGTGGCTGAGCATCTCCTGACCGGTTGCTCATGCTGGTGAACTGTGGATCTGTGGGAAGCATTCTGGTGTTAGCCAGGAGATGGTGGGGATGGAGACCCCAGGAGGTGGTGGGGATGGAGACCCCAGGATGATGGGGATGGAGACCCCAGGAGATGGTGGGGATGGAGACCCCAGGATGGTGGGGATGGAGACCCCAGGAGGTGGTGGGGATGGAGATCCCAGGATGATGGGGATGGAGATCCCAGGAGATGGTGGGGATGGAGACTCCAGGATGATGGGGATGGAGACCCCAGGATGATGGGGATGGAGACCCCAGGATGGTGGGGATGGAGACCCCAGGATGATGGGGATGGAGATCCCAGGATGATGGGGATGGAGACCCCAGGAGATGATGGGGATGGAGATCCCAGGATGATGGGGATGGAGATCCCAGGATGATGGGGATGGAGACCCCAGGAGATGGTGGGGATGGAGACCCCAGGATGATGGGGATGGAGATCCCAGGATGATGGGGATGGAGACCCCAGGAGATGGTGGGGATGGAGACCCCAGGAGGTGGTGGGGATGGAGACCCCAGGAGATGGTGGGAACAGAGACCTCAGCACTTGGTGGTGCTGTGTGGATTTGATTTGTACCAGAGCTCAGTGCTGGTGTGAACTCTGAGGTTTCAGGAGTGCTGGGGAGGTGCAGACACTGAGGAACCCTTGTCCACACAAGACACCTCTGTGTGGTCTGGAGAAGAGCTGTGAGCATTTGGTCCTTCCCAATGTATTTGGGACGCGCTCCTGACACATTTCCCTGCAAAAGGCCTGCTGTCCAGGAATGGGCACAGAAAAGGTGTCAGCAACACCTGTGGCACAGCACAGACATCCCATGAGGGGCCAGAACTCGCTGTGGGTGTCCTGGGGGAGGTTCCTGCTCACGCCTCTCTGTGTTTTGTCCCTCAGGTTGGACTTCAACGGGTTCTACACGGAGCGCCTGGAGCACATGTCGGCCGAGCGCAGCCAGAAGGCCCCGCCGCTGCTGCCCTGCCTGGCCGTGCCTGCCCAGTGACCCTCACCCCCATCCAAGGCAGCTCAGCCCTCCACACCCACCCCACAACCTGCAAACAAAGCCTGCAGGGTGGCCCAGAGACACAGGGGAATGGTCAGGCTCCTGAGATGTTTGTAATGTTTGGGGTTTTGTTGGCGTTTTGTTCGTTTTTTTATTTTACTCTGTTGTACAATGATGTGTTTGTGTGTTGTAAAATAAATTAAATAACAACAAAAACAAACAAAAAAACCAGGGTTATTTTGTCTGTGTTAACAGAACTTGGGGTGCACATTATTTTGGATGCTCCATCCCTGGAAGTGTCCAAGGCCAGGCTGGACAGGGCTTGGAGCGGCCTGGGATAGCGGAAGGGGGTTGGAGCAGGATGAGCTTTAAGTTCCTTTCCAACCCCAAGCCCCCAGCAGAGGAGTTCCAGGGAATCCAAACTTTGCCTGGGGCAGTTTGAGAGCAGGTGCATAGAGGGAGGAAGAGAAATGTGTCCCAGGAGCAAGGGATAACCGAGGCACATGCCAGGGACAGAGGCCTGGGGGCCGGGAGTGGGGACCTGGGGACTTGTGTGGGGGCTGTGGGCACAGCACTGAGTGCTCCTCTCCTCCCTCGCTCCTCGGCAGGGACCTCCCGGAGCTCTCCGCAGGGAAGAGCCAGGATTTGTGTGCTCCATTGCCTACAGCTGGTCCTCCAGCTTGGCAGAGGGAGAGAGACCCCGGGAGAGGGTGGGGACCACCAGCAAGCATTGAGTCCCACTAGGAGTCACGGGGAGTTCATTTTTTGAATCAGCAGCAAACTTCCAAGCGCCCGCTGATGACTAATCCCTAATCCTGTTCACACCCACGTGCCCGTGTCCGTTTCCTGGTCGGCCTGGCCTCAAACACCCAGAAATACGAACGTGCCCGGCTTATCTGCCCTGGCATCCCAGCTGCGGAGCCTGCCGTGACAGTGCAGCCGCCCCAGTGCCCCGATTCCCCCTGCAGAGCCGCAGGACATGTCCCACGGGGCCGGGGACGCACCTCCGTGCCCCTTGGACACCCCCAAGGCCATGCACACAGTCCCCGATGCCGCTCGGAGCGTCCCCCCACCCCGATGTCCTGTGGGCAGCCTCCACTGATCCAGTCCCCCAGAGCCTCAGAGCCAGCCGCGATGTCCCACGATGTCCCCAGTGTCCCACCCACTGGTGTCCTGCCGACCTTCCCTGTCTGTGCCCTGGGTGTCCTCCCCCAGTGCCCCCTGCCCCCGCGGACCCTCCAGGTGCCCCCGTGTGCCCGGGGGCCAGTCCCCAGCGCCCCACAGAGCCCCACGACACCCCACACACCCTCCCCCCGGGGACAGCCCCCATCTCCCTACGGACC